ATGCATGGAGTGTGGAAAGACCTTTGCTCAAAGAGGCCATCTTATTCGCCATAAGATGATCCACACAGGGGAGAAGCCGTATAAATGCAAAGTGTGTGAAAAGACCTTCGCTTACAGCAGTGGACTTACAGTCCACAAAAGGATCCACACAAAGGAAAAGCCATTTCAATGCATGGAGTGTGGACAGGCCTTTGCTCAAAGAGGTAATCTTATTCGCCATAAGGTGATCCACAAAGGGGAGAAGCCATATAAATGCATGGAGTGTGGAAAGACCTTTGCTTATGGTAGTGGACTTACTATGCACAAAAGGATCCACACAGGGGAGAAGCGATATAAATGCATGGAGTGTGGAAAGACATTTTCTCAGAGCGGTGGACTTAGTTGCCACAAGAAGATCCACACGGGGGAGAAGCCGTATAAATGCATGGAGTGTGGAAAGACCTTTGCTCAAATTGCCCATCTTAATTCCCATAACATGATCCACACAGGGGAGAAGCCGTATAAATGCAAGAATTGTGGAAAGACCTTTGCTTATAGTAGTGGACTTACTAGCCACAAAAGAATCCACACAGGGGACAAGCCGTATAAATGCATGGAGTGTGGAAAGACCTTTGGTTACAGTAGTGGACTTAATAGCCACAAAAGGATCCACACAGGGGAGAAGCCATATAAATGCAAAGAGTGTGGAAAGACCTTTGGTTACAGTAGTAGACTTACTATCCACAAAAGGATCCACACAGGGGAAAAGCCATTTCAATGCATGGAGTGTGGAAAGACTTTTGCTGAAAGAGGCCATCTTATTCGCCATAAGGTGATCCACAAAGGGGAGAAGCGATATAAATGCATGGAGTGTGGAAAGACCTTTGCTTATAGTAGTGGACTTACTATCCACAAAAGGATCCACACAGGGGAGAAGCGGTATAAATGCATGGAGTGTGGAAAGACATTTTCTCAGAGAAGTGGACTTCATTACCACAGTAAGATCCACACAGGGGAGAAGCCATATAAATGCATCGAGTGTGGAAAGACCTTTGCTCAAATTGCCCATCTTAATTCCCATAAGATGATCCACACAGGGTAGAAGCTGTATAAATGCATGGAGTGTGTAAAGACCTTTGCTCGAAGATATCATCTTAATTGCCATAAGATGAGCCACACAGGGGAGAAACCATATAAGTGAATGAATTGTGGAAAGTCATTTGCTCGAAAGTATGGTCTTACTTTCCATAACAAAATCCACACAGGAGAGAAGCCATATAAATGCATAGAGTGTTGGAAGACCTTTGCTCAAATTTGTAGTCTTATTTCCCATAAGATGATCCACATAGGAGAAAAGCCATTTAAATGCATGGAGTGTGGAAAGAGCTTTGTTCAGAATGGTAGATGTCTCATAAAAGAATCCACACTTGGGAGAAACTATGCAGCAATAGCAATTCCACTTAGACTTATATTGCACTCCACAATGCTTTACAATTTACAAAGTTCAGCATATGGTCCCCAGCAATCTGGGTCCTCATTTTACACCGCCTCTGAAGGATAGCACTAGTCTTTCAAAGGTTTTCATAACTACAGATGTTAGAGCAACTGGTCTGTAGTCATTCAGTTCCTTGATGGAAGATTTCTTCAGCACTGGGATGATAGTAGAGCATTTGAAACAAGAAGGAACATACCACATCGCTAGTGATTTATTGAAGATTCGGGTGAAGATCCTGGCCAATTAGCGAGCAGAAACTTTTAAGCGAGAAGGAATTATCTTGTCTCAGCCTACTGCTTTTCCTGGCTTTTGTCTGTGAAATAGATCCTGCAATTTTTTTTTTCTGTGATCAACATAGGTTTTGAACCTAATGGGTTGGGGCAGTTGTGGGAGTTTTGGCTATTGTTGGTGAATCCTTCAACGTATCTTGTGCTTTTTTTGGTAAGTAGGTTTTAAAACAAAGATGAGTATCAGTGGAAATTAAGGTTATCATTTGGCCTGAAAGTGATCTGTGGATGCCAATATTTAAGTGGTGCATATTCCCTAATCATTCCTTTTTTTAAAAAAAATATAGTTTATTTTTTACAATTAAAACCAGTCACAATACATACACAAATAAGCAAAAGAGAGAAAAAAGAGGAGAGGAGAGGAAGAAAGGGAAAGTATTTTGAGAAAAGAAAGAAAAAGAAAGGGGGAAGAAAAGAAAGAAAGAAAGAAAGAGGTTACAAGGTTAAAAGTATTCTTATTTTAACAGTTTGCAAGATCTTCTTTTGTTTTTATAACCTTAACTTGTGTCATATAACCACACCTGTTTTTAGCTTATATGTCTACCTCATTATGGGTTGATACATTTCTTTTATGCCTTATGATACATAATTTATCTTTGGTCAATCCAATTATACCAATAATTCCAGCTATCCTAGTATAGTGAAGTGTCTTTGTTTTTTAGCGCCAAAGTCAATTTATTCATTTCTGCGCATTTTGAGATTTTTTCAATAATCATTTCTTCTGATGGAATTTGATGTTGTTTCCAGTGTTGAGCGAAGGCTAATCTGGCCGCTGTTAAAATGTGTATTGTTATGTATTTGGCTTTTTTGGAAATTTGCTTATCAAAAATCCCTAGTAGGAAGGACTCTGGTTTGAATTCAATCTGCTCTTTGGTGATTTCTTCCAACCAAGTTTTTATTTTCTTCCAATACTTTTGGGTTTCTGCACAAGACCACCACATATGGAAAAAGGTTCCTTCTTTTTTCCTACATTTCTAGCAATGCGGACTCATTTTGGGGTGCATCTTCGCTAACCTCGAAGGGGGGAGATGCCATCTATAAAACATTTTATAAAGATTTTCCTTGTATGCTGCCGATTTGGTAATCTTATTGTTTCTGCCCCAAACTTTCTCCCATTCCGCTAATGTGATGCTGCGCCCTACGTTCTTACTCCAAGCAATCATACTTCCTTTTACAATTTCTTCTAGTTCTGTTTCTAATAAGTAGTTATAAAATTTTATTTTTTTTATTTGATCCTAATAAAATTTTATCTAATAGTTGCAGTTTGTTATTAATTCCGAATTCTTTTTTGTCTTGTTTGTATCTGCTTTGAATCGAAGGTAAACCCATTGATCAATTTTATATCCTTGCTCCTGAAGATCCGGCCTCGGTTTCAAATTTCCTTGTGGGTCTAATAAGTCTTTGTATATAATCATTTTGGTAAGCTCCAAATTGTTTGGGTGAATCATTGCCTCCATTGTTGAAATCCATACTGGTACTTTTGTATAATGTTTTTTCCTTATTTTCCTCCAAATTGTTAATAGTGCATCTCTAATTAAATGTCTATGGAAATATTTTTGACTGGTTTTCCCTATGTCCCATAGAAAAGCGTGCCACCCCTTTGTAAATCGTGGCCTTCTAGAAATAGTATTCTTTTATTGGTTAAATTCACCCAATCCTTCAACCAAACTGAGGTGGCCATATGGTATAACTCCCAGTTTGGAAATGCTAACCCTCCCCTGCTCTTCATATCCTGCATTGCTTTTACATTTATTCTGGGTTTTTTCCCTTGCCAAATAAATTTCAGGATTATTCTATTGAGTTCTTGAAAAAACTTATGTAATTTGATTGGGATCATTTGGAATAGGTACAAGAATTTGGGGAGAATGTTCATTTTAATAGTAGCAATTCGGCCTAGTAGTGAGGTTTGAAGTTTCCCCCATGATTCTAAATCTTTCTTTACCTGGTGTATCAGTTTATCATAATTGTTTTCTTTAAGTGTCTTACAGTGTGGTGATAGCCAAATTCCTAAGTATTTCACTTTCTTTGTCACTTGTATATGCATTATTTCTTCTAGTTCTAGTTCCTGTTTTTCTGTTAGGTTTTTGGTCATTAATTTGGTTTTTTTTTTTAAATTTATTTTAAGTCCAACTACTGCTCCAAATTTCTTTAATTCACTCATCAATTTTGGTCCGCTGTCTTGGTTCTTCAAAGAAGAAAATCATGTCGTCCGCAAATGGTTGCAATTTATATTCCTCTTTCTTAACTGTTAATCCCTTTATCTCTGAATTCCGCCTAATTCGTGTTAATAATGTCTCTAATGCTAATATGAAGAGCAGGGGAGAGAGTGGACAACCCTGTCTCACTCCTTTTTCTATCTTTATTGGGCGGGTGCATTCTCCATTCACTATTATATTAGCTTGTTGTGTATCATATATAGTTGTTATTTTCAAATTTGGTGCCCAAATTCAAATTATAAATTTTTTGAATTAAAAATTGCCAATTTAGATTGTCGAAAGCCTTCTTTGTGTCTAGGAACATAAGTGATACTTGTTTCTTGGGGCGGGCTTCGTAAAATTCTAGTACATCTAATACTATTCTTAAATTGTTCTTTATTTGCCTAGTTGGGAGAAATCCGTTTTGGTCTACATGTATATACAAGTTTAAGATCCTTTTTAATCTGTTTGCTATAATAAGTGTGAATATTTTGTAATCAGTATTTAAAAGTGAAATCGGCCTGTAATTATTTATATATCTGGGATCTGTATCTTCCTTCAGGATCAGCGAGATCAACGCCCCCCTCCATGAGTCCGGCATCCTGGCTGCCAGTAAAACATTAAAGACTTCCACCATAAGTGGTCCAATTTGATCTGCTATTGCCTTGTACAGCTCCCCTGGGATCCCGCCTGGGCCCGGGGTTTTTATTATTTTTCTGGCTCTCTATTGCTGATTTCAATTCCGATTCAGTAATGTCTTTATTTAATAGTTCAGCCATTTCTTCCCCAATTGCCTTATCCTTTACTTCATCTAGATAATTCCTTATTCTATCTTCACTGACGTCCTCTCTTTTTTCTGTTCTATTTCCTGGGATGTATCTCCTTTGCTATCTATTAACTGGTATATCAATCTCTTCTCTTTCTTTTCTTTTAATTTATAAGATAGCCATCTTCCTGGCTTGTTGGCATGTTCAAAATAGGTTTGTCTGGTTAAGTTCAAATTCATAGTCATTTTCTCTTGATCAATTAAATTCAGTTTGTGTTTGGCTATACTTATCTGATTTTGCAGTTTGGGTTCTTTTGGGTTATTTCGTAGAAGGGTTTCTAGCTCCTTAATTCTTTGTTGTAATTTGTTTTGTTGGGAATATTTTTCCTTGTTTCTCTTGGTGTTATAAGAGATTGTTATGCCTCTTATAACCGCCTTCATCGTATCCCAAACATTTTGTTTCGTGGTTTCTCCATTATCATTTTCTTTTATAAAAAAATTCAATTCCTCCTTTAATTTATTAATGTATTCTTTCTCTCTTATTAATTGAGTGTTTAAGGACCATCTTTTCTTTGGTTTTGCCCTGCCCTTCCATATTACCTGTATTGGATTATGGTCTGCCCATTCACTAGGCAAAGTTTCCACTTCTTTTGTCTCGTTTGCTATTTCCCCACTCATCCATGCCATATCGATCTGTGTCCATGTTTGGTGGGGATTTGAATAAAATGTAAATTGTCTTTTTTCAGGATGTAATCTTCTCCATATATCTGTCAGATTTAGCTCTTTCATCATTTCCCTACAAATCTTGGGGAGCTCTCTCTT